CGACACCATTTCACTACTTGAATTCTCATTCTCTTCATAACCAACTTTATGGTATACTGGTGAAATGTGTAGCATTTGTTAATTCCATTAAAAACTGGAATTGAGAACCTATCTATTTCTTGCTGAGGAGTCATAATAAGGAAGAAACCGGTCCAAGAATGATGTTCTCCTTGGTGAGCAAAATCAAAGTAGAGAGTGTTGAAAATTAATTTCTCTCTGCTGTCTTTCCTTCGGATGTAATTCAATGCCTGTTGCGGTATTAGCCAAAGGAGTAGTTGTTTTTTGAAGGGGATACGGTCACGGTCGTTGTATTTTATGTGATATTGCACGAAAAAAAAATTGTAGAACAAATTTCTACAATTATAGATTTTTTCTCTACAATAAATAGTACATATAGGGACAGGGACAATTTGTAGTAAAAATTTCCAAATATTTGTGGAGAATGTATTGTAGAGTTATTATCTACAATATTTAGTAAAAATATCCAAATGCATCATAAGAATTGTTCTACAAATTGTTATAATTTTTGCTATTCATTGTATGAATTTATATTAAAAATGTATTGCTTTTTATGAAAATAAATACGAAAATTTTACACAATAAATAGTAAAAATTCATACAAATTGTAGTAATTTTTAATAAAACTTGTAGTAGTATTCCATAATTATTATAATTATAACCTAGAAAAAAATTTTCCTTAATAAAATATTCAATTTATTGTTTTAATATAAAAGATACAACGTCTTAATTACATTATGTAATAAATAACAGTAATAATAGCACCCTCAGTCTTAGTTGGCTTTTCTGCACCTGAAAAATATGAAATAAAAATTAATAACAATTGAACTGTTCATACCCTTAAAACGGGGATATTTATCACCTTTACACTGGTTTGGATATTAAATGACTAAGTCAGATAACTAACAAAAATGAGAAAGTAGGTATGTCACAATTAAGACAAAAAACATCATTGAATTTGACACAAAATTCGATCGTTGGGCACAACATTCGATCGTTGGCCACAACTATTTTTTTTTAAATAATCTACTAAGGTTATTTAAATTAGTTATCTAAAGGTAAATTATTCAAAAACAATAATAAATGTACTTACCACCAATAGAATTTATTATTAAAATTTTCTCATACGCATCGGTGCTTATAACATAATAATGTGTTATAGGTACTCGTATATGTACCATGCTTTGTTATGTGAACATGGCGAACGGCTACTGCTGTCTGGCCATTTATGATCGACGTCAGAAAACGTTGGCCAATAGCAGAATTCTGTTTTGTTCACATGACTTAGAATTTCTAAAATATTATAGAATATTTTTGAACAAAATTGAATATTTTTCATAAGAAGGGATGTAACTTATTACTATTTTTTGTAGAAAAAATTACTATTTTTTGTAGAGATAATTATTAATATTTGTACAAATTTTTTCAGAAGTTAGTAGTAGTAATTACGATAATTGTAATAAATTTCTACTTCTTCAAACAATAGTAAAATATACTAAACATTGTGGAATTCTTTCCTATTGTTGTAGCATTTTATTCGACAATTCAATTGCTACAATAATGAATAGTTTTTAACTATAAATTGTAGTAAAATTCTCTACAAATTGTTAAGTATTTTTCTACAAGTCTACTACTACAACATTGTAGTAAAATTTTCTAGTCACATTTTTTTCTGTGTGGCTTTGAGCTAAATTCATTTTATTTTATTTAATCAATAAATTAAGACGGTAAAACAACAGGACCAAAAAGTTTTTTTGGTCCTATTGGTATTTTTTTGCAAACTAATATATGCTAATATAAACTCTAAAAATATAACATACGATCTAACCACTTTAAGCACTAATCATAAATATTTATTAGAGATTCGTCTAGCTGTAGCTTTCGAAAAAGTTACAGAAGACCTTGCAAAAAGAAATTCTGGCAAGTTGTCACATGCTCGTTGATTGACTTGTGCGAGTAGGATATTACGATTATATGAAGCAACAAATGATATGTCTAATATATTAATAACACTTGCCACATATGTCGTAAAAGTATATGTTCATGTTTGGTTCAAAATTAAAAGCAATAATTTGTGCACTGATGGTTCAAAAAATCTGTTTTATTTAAGAAAGTTTTTAAAATATTTGGATGAATCTGTAAGAGAAGAAATCAATGCTACTATACAAAGAAATGCTTATTTTGGCCATCCAGAAAACGTTATTCCCGGCATGGTAAAAGATTCACGACCTCATATAAGAGAACTTGCCTTTCGTCGAATTTTAAGAGGTAGAAAGTATGAAAAGAAATACGACAATAAACCCATGATCTTCAAAATACCTAAAATTAATTTTAAAGCTAACTACTACATTGATGTTATTAATTGAAAAAATACTAAAGCTATTAACCCTCCCTCATTACTCAAGTATTCAGATGATGAATTCATGGATTTTATTGGAACAGGTGACATACCAGATATTTTAGAATTCCTTTGCCACACTCAAACATAACGACACATAAAGCTTGTAACCGACGCTTTCTCTTTTGTGTGTGGAGAGTTTAGAAGAGAATATATGTTTTAAGATAAAGTCCCAAAAAAACACCCAAATTTTAAACAAAAAACAATTTAATTTTTAAACACTGCCCTACATTTTTTGGAAGGTTGGGTGGAGCAGGGTGGAGCTTGTTTTGCGGTCACCTCCACGTGGTGAGCCCTGGGTTAATTTTTGTAATATTATGTCATTATTTCCACATCATTATATTACTCAAATTAAGCGAGGAGTCGCTAGAAAGTGTAAAAAATGTATTTCAATAAAATAGGTTTGTATTAATTTTATAACCAAAAAATCATGATTTTCACTTGGTTTGTGGGACCTTTAAACCTTTTTTAAAAACAGAAAATCAAAAATAGTTTTCATCGCTTATATAACAGTTTTGCAAGCTAATGTACATTTAAATTAAAATAATTGATATCATTTTGACAATTTAATATTATGTAACAAAACCGCGAATATTTAAAAATCTTATTGCCCTGCGGACCCTCTAAATATTATTTTATTTCAATAAAAAAAATTAATATTTTTTTTCTACATAATAAGACACAGCTTTTCCACACTGTTGCTAGTTCAAATTAAAAGAAAATAAAATGGATGTTTTTCGCTCCACCCTAATAAACAAGATTCTCTTATTTTGGTTACTGCGTGGGCAACACCGTAAATGTTTGCAATTCGGTTTTTGCAAAACAAATGGGTTTAGGTTGTTTCTCGTTGTTTAAAAGCTTACGTTATTTATAGTATATCCTACATACACTTAGAATAAATGGAAATTGCAATAAAAATGAGGATTAATTAGAAACACTAAATGGAGCAATATTGTAAATATATTAAAACTTACCAAAATATGAATTGTTCTCTTATTCATGATTATATCAAAAAAATAAACAACATAACAAAAAAATTAAGATAAAATTGCTATATAAAATTTAATTAACAAATTCAATTACTTATCGAGATTGAATTTTACCTAACATTAAGCAAACATAATGAGCAATTTGCTATATACGATATTTTTATAATCATTATCGCTGCTAGAACTTTAATATTAGTTAAAATTGTTATTACGAACGCATATTGGATTTTGGATTTATACTTTATTTTCTTTCTAACCGAAGAATTTTATTCTACAGAAAAGAAGGATTATTGGTTAAGACATTTCTATAATAATTATAATTAATCGAAGTTTTAATTACTAACTTCATTAGATCTTCGGTTTATGTCAATTGGTTTAAGTCAGGTGACTGCAGACGCCGAGCAACTAGATTACCTGAGCCAATCGATCTTCCTTCACAAATTTCACTTTAACTTTACTACCAAAAGTTGGTCTATTTTGACTTCTATATATGAACGGAAATTTTGTAATACAGAAATATAATTTATAGTGTCTCATGATGTCGAAATAAGAGTACAGACTATATTGCAGATATTTTATTAGATACCAACAAACATGCATGAATATAAATGAATGGTTGAATGTAGAAAGCTAGCCTAGTTTTGTTAATAATTTTGTAATTATACGTTTAGTGATCTTGATGTTGCACTTTGCTTGGCCATGGCAACTCACCAGTTCTAGGGTTTTTAAATCTTTTTGATTCGTTGACTTTTATTGTAGATCTCCTTGTTTGTTTAAATTGTTTTGTTACTGGATTATTTGCAACAAAAATGACACTTTAAATAATATTTTCATACAGAGTAGTGGCTTTAAAAATACTGTTCCCCCAAATTATAAAATAAGTCAGCAGCTTACAAAATTAGTTGTAGGAAATTGTATTCCTTTAGAACAGCTCGGAATTTTAAAATGTATTGTTCGTCAAATCAACGAATCTTCAAGAGACTATGGAGCTCTTGGCTTATCACTTACGATAGTGTATTAGAAGATAATAAACATGATGATAACTATTTACCAAACTCCACGCTCTTGGAAATTACAAACTATTATATTGCTGGATATATTCTCTCTGACTATAATTATCGTAAAAAAGCTTATTTGTGTGCAGACCAGGAAGATCTAAAAATATTTTCGATTATAGACAAGAGAAATGTAAAAAGCCTATAGTATCCGTCTGTGGACGTTTGTCTTCAATGTATGTGAGTATATAATTAAAAAAATCTGATGTGTCCAACACATGACTTTCCTATCTAGTTATTACGGGCTTTTTTCGGTTATTTTGTGCAACCTATTGTAGTACCTCTGTAAATATTTAGAGGTTAACTTAATATATACATTTTACACATACATCTAACTCGAAAATGCTGAAAAATTAAAATTTTATAATTTTCCTTCAATTTTTTCATTACGGTCCATTTTAGAGAAATCATGATTGAGTGAAAAAACTTCACCATTTAATGCTTTCAGGCATAATTTGTTTAAATTGTCGTGTATTGGAATGAAATGGGGATTATCATTGGTTGATATATTATAGTAATAAATAATCATTATCAACTTACCAAAAATGTAAACACGACCAGCAAAGAATTCATTTTTTTTATTACTAATACCTACAGTAAAAATAAAAAAAAAATGCTTAAACACCAATTTAAAAATATTTATAATGATTATTTCAGTTGTCGCAATAGATTTATTATCACCTATTGTAATACACCTACAATTAGCTTCCCATTTAAATTAAACAATGGAACTAGTGGAGATAAGATCAAAAATAAATTTCATATACATTAATAATTTGAAATATATTGGATCCATAATACCTATTATTTATTTAACATTAATTTTGGTCCTATTTCATTCTGTTACTATAACAAATTTTAATCAATAAAGTAGCAAAATCTGCCATTACCGTATCCAGAATAGTATTCACAAACATGCTCCATATTTTCTAAATTCCCTAAGGTATTCATCCATTATCAATTAAACCCTATATACTTAAATGAACTGCCATTACCTACCTAACAATCCTAATTTTAATTTTGCTCATAAATATCTGCTTATAGCTATGGTTTGCTTCGAAACTTGAATCCTTAGCTTTTCATTAGGTCCAAAAAGCCTTCCAGATTAACCCCACAAACGCCAACTAAAATATTTCGGAGCCGCTTAGTCGTTCTAAATTATTGATAATATCCTTGTAGGGCAGTGGTGGCACGAAAAATATCTACCAAAAACATAAATAAATAATAAATCGTTCAACTGTCCATTTATGGTTGATAAAATGTTTTCCATAAAACAAGCCTATTATGGGATTTAGTTGTATCTACCGAATACGACTGAGATGTCATTAAGATTTTATTTTTCATATGGCAAACACCTACTACTTTTTACAAACAATAGATAGTAGATATTAAATAAAATTTTAATAAAAATATCATAAATACATATCTAGGTTCAACCACGAGCTGTAGACTCATAAAATTTACTCATATAGCACGATTTTGGTTAGAGAAGAAATCTGAAAGTAGCCCCATCTATATTTAGTAAACAAAATAAAAGCTTGTTCTAGTCTCACTTCATAGAAAGAACCAGAAAGATATTTCAACAATTACTTTATTTTTTGACATTATCTTCCTTAACCATAATGGAGCGATACTCCAGCATTACGAAGTTTCCACGACGTTTTTTTTAAACACATCACATAATTTATACATTTATTATCTGCAAGATAGTGAACTAAAATTGTCATTCTGGCATCCAAAAAATTCAGATCATCATCTTCTTAGCCGATTAAACCAATTTGAATACGTTTTGAAATAAAATTTGCATTGCTGTGCCAATACATTTTCAAGTAACACTTACAAATGATTACGTACTTAATTTGGTTTTTGATATGTTACAATTCGTGGGCCCCATCTGATGATTAACTTTTTCATATGGAGTTCTTTTGAGATAATGTACAATATGATCCAGGATTTTTGACCATTGGTCTGATCTTTATCTTTGTCAGTTATGAGTATGAAGGTATTTTTTCATGTAGTTGAAGAGAAATATTTTATGGACGCTCAGCAAGGCCACATGTGCAGCTTTTGCCAGGAGAATCAATCCCGGAACCGCAATCGCATTACTTCAGGGTGGAAGCAATATTGGACCTCGAATCCTGGATGCTTAAATGTCTACATATATTTCTCTTTCTGTACCTTATTTCCTCTTCATTAAATATTTTATTATGCTCAGGGGTCTATTCTGAAACATTTAAATTAAGTTTGACCACCAGATTCAAAGGTTATTTATAAGTATCACATTCAGATTTTAACCCAAATCTTTATTTAATATTCCATCAAATTAATGTTGTGCTATAACCGATCGTAGTTACAATAGACATGACAACGATATAGTATGCCTAAAAAGTGAAATAAAACAAAGCCCAACGCAGAATTAAAAATAAGAAAAATGATATATTTGACAGTTAATCATTACTAGATTTATTACTGACGCAAGTTATAATTTTAAACAAATAATACAGAATACAAAATTAAAAATAACATCCAGTTATCTTTATAATCCAGCTTTAATTTTAACAAAATTTTTACAGAATTAACCCCTCATCCCATTATTTCTCTCCATGTAATTTCAAATCAATTATGTTGATTGTGCTTTGACACTCGTCATTTTCTCTTCTCTTACCGCTGTCTAGTGTGTGCATTTCAAAGATAGTGTGTTCCGCTGTATCTGCGTTGTTGCAGTAGCAGCATAATTGTCTTCCTTTTTGCCTATTCTATTGAGGTAAGAATCGAAGATACCGTGTCCTAAGTCGCTCGATATTTTTTTATTCCATACCGTTATGTATTTGAAGGTTTTACTCCTTCCGTCATATTGGTCCCACTTCTCACTCCATTTTTGCCACTGCTTTGTCTTTTTTTCCATGCTTGAATATATACATCCCATTCTCTACTTTTAAATAAATGATAGTAGTCCTTCATTACTAGTATGGCATGTCGTGTATCCGGATATAATTCTTAACACTAGCTTCCTATTTATTTGATCCATCATATCATTGTAGCATTTTTATTTTAACGCTTTTTACCAGACTGGTAAACCGTATAAGAATGATAATAGATCTATAATTTTCAGAAGTTTTCTTTTGGATACCGTTAGTCCAGAGAAATTTTGGGTAATTCTGGACATCGTTTTAAAGTATGCTTGTCTAAGATGGCACGTCATTCTGGAGTTTTTATCGATTCTAAATCCCATATACTTTATGTCATTTTGGCTGATCAGAGTTAGGTTTTCTATTTCTACCATTAAGGAATTCAGTTTTCTTCTCTTGTTAGAATGGCGACTTTTATTTTTTTTTGGGGCCATCCTAAATCTCATTTCTTTAAACTCATGTTTTTCCATGTTTACTGTTATTGTTGACATGGTTTCCAATAGTATTTTGGTTTAAGCTACATTTACTATAGCAAGGTCATCAGCATACGCCACTAGAGTTACTACATTTTTGACTTTTAATTCTAGCACCTTGTTATAAAATACATATATTCCACAATGTTGACCACAGAACCGGTCACAAGAATGTGTTATTTTTCCCCTCTTCCAATATCAAGTAATCTGTTAGTTAGGTACGATTGCATGATTCTAAGGAGATATTAACTTACCTTGACTTTATTTAGTGCCTTAACTATACCATCGCAGGGAGCAGTTTTAAAGGCGTTTTCTGTATCTACCGTATCACTGCGCAAAAATTTCTGTTCTTATAAGCCTGTTTCTTTATTTTGTCTGAGATCTTGAGTACTCTTTGAAGGGCATCTGTGGTGGATTTCTTAGGATCTAAATTCAAATAAGTTATTGTTGAGTATAATTTTTATATATGTAACATACAAATATGTCCTATCCTAAGCAACTTCCAGAAGGGAATTGCCTAAAATTAAACTTTAAAAATAAAAAAAAAATTATCGGTAAAATTTTCTCTACTACTGTTACACAAGTTTCGGTTGTTCCGGTGTCAACATTCAGGCCTTCGACGTCGCTCAGGCGACAAATATGAGGTGGATAGCTCTAAAAATTCTGAAATTAGTAGTCAAATGAAGGGCGCCAACTGGGTCTCTATATAGTAGCCAAGCTATGTCCCTATTTCCCCACAGATCCAGTAAATAAGGAAAGAAATAAAAGACAAACCTCAACTTATGTTCCTTTATAATAAATTTACCTTATCTTTCCAGTTATGATTAACAATTTTAAACAAATTATATTTAAGAAACTACCAAATCTGTTTTTCAAAAGAAAAACAACAAATTAAAATGTTAGAATTCAACATTATGCACTCAAATGCCGAGGGACCTCTAATTTGTATGTCTATAGATTCCTTTAACGGGTGATGCATGAGCTAATAAACCATGGGAATTTTTCACAACACTTAAATTCCCCAAATATATCAAATTCTCGTTCATCCACAATTAATAATGTATTTAAAATCTGAAATTCTCTTTAATAGGATAACCCGATGATTATAGAAAAATATAGATTTTACCCACGAGACAAAACTTGGGTTGTTCTGCCTTCTTCACCTGTCAAAAAACCACCTAACCTACAAACCTCTTACGAAGTATTCCCTTCCGCTTTGAAAAATGACAAAGCGAGTAGGTTCTGAAATTCATCCTTAATAATTTACCAGTATATATTATAGAAACTATTTATGAAAGATTACCTTACAAACTACATCTATGTAAAATATAACTACATTTGGAAATTACACCTTATTTCTAAATAAGTATTGCATGTTTTAATTGAAAAATTATTTAATTTTATCTATATAAAATACAAATTAGGTATGCATTACCAAATTCGAAAAGGTTTGTTAAATGAAAGTACAATTTTGTAACAATTTTTTTTTGAAATAAACCAATATATAGTTTTAAGAATAAAATAACACAGCTAACAGATTTTTTTGTTGTAATACAAGTATAAAAGGAGATTCGGAAATATACATGGTATTATCTCATCCAGTAAAAATAGTCTCATAATATTTGATAATACCTTCTTAAAAGTATAGAACAGCATCATCTCTAGAAAGTACTTTATCAGCACTAGGAACGATATATTATATGCTGCCACTGTTCTAAACATTTAGTACCCTATAAAAAGCATTTACAATGATGCAATAGACCTTTTCATCATGTGATGAGCGCAAGCGCAGCCACCATGTTGAAATAGCGGTAATTCAAAAGTTTCGTACTGTTTTGATCGACAATGACTGGGAAAGCAATGTTATCTCTACAGAAAAATTAATCATTAGAAAAAATCGTTGATAGTGAATAACTTTTTTATAACTCTGTGGAAGCGCATAGTTGTGAGCAGTTGAAAAGGAGATTGAAGTGTCTTGGATGTTTGTTACAAAGGAACAAAGTGGACTAATTGAGAGGTTAGGTGTATCAATACTTTTTAACTCTGTAAAAAATTAATGAAAACAAATAATAATTATAACTTTATTCTAATTAATTATGCCAACCAACTATTACTATACTTGCAAAAACACTTTAATTAGCATGAAAGTGAATCACGAGTATAATTAATAAAATAAATTATTTATTATTTTGAGGATCAACATGACATTTTTAATCATTTAATGTGTATACCGAAGTATTATTTAATATTAAAAAAATATTGTTTAATACCACATGAGAATTTTCTTCTGTTGGACCACTTTCTCCATGAAAATGCAGT